ATATGACAAAGATCGTAAAACAGAAGGTTTCTATGACAAAATGACGGAACTAGATAACATTCTGGCAGGTACTTCAGCACTATTTTATTTAAATCGTCAAAGTAGTCTTTCCCTAATCTAAGTGGAATTGTCTGGAACAAATATAAGATTCTGGATAAAATATTCATTTTGATTGTAGATATTCTCCGTATCATTGATAGTTGTAGATTTTCCCATTTCATCAGATCCATCTCAGTCTGCTGTTTAAGTTTATGGTAATTGTTCTCTTTGAGTGTACTGCATCTTGCGGTTAAGTATATCCCCAAATATTTAACCTTATTCGTGACTTGAATCTCCAAGGCTTCTGCCAATTCTTCCTTTTGTCTTGATGATGTATTCTTTGTCAAAATCTTCATTTTATCATTTTATTTTCAAACCTGCTACTTTTCCATATTCCTCTATTTTTTCTATTCAATTTAGGTGCAGTTTCCAATCATTTTCTATCAATTTTGGTGCAGTTTCTCTAAGATGAAAACCAGATCATCTGCAAATGCTTGTAGTTTGTATTCTTTCTTTTTAATTTTCATTCTTTTTATTTCTTTTTCTTCTCTGATCTTTCCATTTAAAACTTCTAATGTTAAAACAAAAAGTAGAGGTGATAATGGGCAGCCTTGTCTGGTCCCTTTATTTCAATAAAATCTGTCAGTTCTCCATTTATCATTATATTTGCTGTTCGTGATTGTATCTCATTAAGGCCTTTGAGGTGAGGAGAGGCCAGACAAGGCACCCCTTAATGTGAGTGATGTCAAGTTGGCCACGCCCACCCAATCACATGACCAAGCCATCCCCAGTCACATGACCACCAAGCTACGCTGAATGGGCATGCAAATAAACATTAAGATTATGAATAGGGAATTACCATTCTGTGTTTATGAATATGTGTGTGTTTTTGTGTCTATGTCATGTACGACATATTTCAATTAATTTTAAGAGTCTGTGCATGAGTGTCTTTTTCACTTTAATGCAAATTTTTTTCTTGAAATGACTCCTAGTTATCCAGCTAGGATATATATATTTTGAAGTCATATGACATTAATGCCAAGATAATTTTATTTCTATAAACTCTTCCCTCTTCTTTTTGTAGGCTTCATTCATACAGATATGACAGCCCACTTGAAAGAAGAAGAGTTGAAAAAAACAATTCCTCTTGGAAGATTTGGGGAGCCACAGGAAGTTGCCCAAAGTATTGCATTCCTTTTAGAAACTCCTTATGTAACAGGCCTTGTTTTGGTTGTAGATGGAGGCTTGCAGCTTCTGATTTAAACACTATGAATTGTACATGAAAAAGTTATTCAGTAACTCTAAAAATCCCCAAAGAGATCTAAGCAATATCCTTGTTATTATATTTTAGCTCAAATTAAAAGAAAGGAAACATAACAAGGTTCCATTTTAGTTGTGTTTGAAAATATAAGAGGGGATTAAAATAAATATATCCTAAAATCTATTAATAGAGTATTGTATTTTTCCTGCAAGATTGGCTAATGGAACATTGGATATGTTGACATTTTTGTGAGATAGCCCAGGGAAGCTTCTGTCTATGTGGAGAGCAACCTTCAGAGCCAGTTGAAGATCTGCAGAATTTTAGGTTCTCTTGTTATCTTGTCATGTTCTGAATAATGCTGGAGCTGGAATAGTATCTTATGTCAGCTTGGAGGTTGGCATAATTAATCCCTGCCCAGTACAATAGAAAATAAAATGCAAAGAAATAAAAAGAATACCATTCCTTCTTCCTTCCCTAGCTACTATAAACCAATAGGAAATAGATCCTTTGATCCCTTCTGCCCAATACCTCCAAATTGTTCTGCCTGAATTATTTTTTTAAATTATTGATATCTTAAAAGCTCATTAATTTATTGTGCTATATATTTTCATGAACCTGAGATTATCATCAAAGTAGATTTAATTTTGAAAAACTGGTACCATAGATCAGTTTACTTATATGATGACACAAAGTTGCATTCTGTTAAATATTAAGAGGAGCCATTACATCTTTTTTGAAAATGGGCTTATTTATCATTCATTTTGAAAATAGGGGGTTTTTTAAATACTTTTTTCACATCCTTTCCAAGATGGCAGCAGCAGAATCAGATCACAGGGAGAGAAATTTCTAAATTAAGTAGGAAAGTATAAGGAAAGGTGGAAAAGGGAGAAAAAAGGAACAGAAAGCTAGATTAGGAGGATAGAAAGGATAAAGAAAAAGAAGAAATTGAGGTGAGGAGGAAAACATCAAAAAGACAGCAGCGCAGCGAATGAATGGCTGCACGCTGAGTTGGAAACACCTGGCAACAGAACAATATATCCAGCTCAGGAGTCTAACTAAGCAGCCCAATGCTGGAAAAGAGGCAATCGTGAGCAGCGAAATGGTGGCTGAATGGCGGACAAGAAGGTAAGCTGTTGGAGGCAGCAAACTGGTGGGCCACAGTATATCCAGTAATTGCCTATACCCATACTCCAATCGGCAGCCTAAGCTTGAGGGGCAGACAGGCATCCCAGGACCCACGTCCTAGCAAACTTGAAGCAGTCCTCCCCCTACAAACTTCCAGCCTGGCAGCTCTCCCCAGTAACCTACCTCAGGTGGAGGACTTGTGGAGGACTTGATCAACATCAACAGGTTATGGTCTACCTTATCAAATGCCTTACTGAAGTCCAAGTTAACTATATCAACCGCATTCCTCTGGTCCACTAATTTTGTCNAGCCGGTGAGATTTGAACCGCCGAACTGCAGCTAACAGTCAGCTGAAGTGGCTGCAGTACTGCACTCTAACCACTGCGCCACCTCGGCTCTATATATACTCTAAAAGTCTCATCCATTCTGCCTAGGATATATTCCTTACTCATTTTTGTAGCTGCTGAGAGAATTTCTGCGATCTTCTCTGCTAAATTCTTTCCTTTCTCCTCTTCTATGTTCTGGAGTCTTAGATAGAATTCGGATCTTTCCATCTCCCACAAATACTGGCTCCATCTTGCTTTCTATCAATTACTGTCAGCCTATAATCCATCTCCTCCACTTTTTTCTCTGTTATCTCTGCCTTTTCTTCCACCTTCTGCAGTCTCTGCTCGTTTTCCCCCATCATTTCTTTGACTTCTTTCAATTCACCTTCCACTTTGACCACTTTCTTTTCTACTCTGTTTATATGCTCCTTGATAGCCGCATGTATGTCTTGCAACGTACTTTTTAGCTCCGAAATAGCTTTGTCTTGTTGTGTTCCTGTGCCTGCTGCTTTCTGTGTCGTTGAACCGGACGGGGTGGCTGTTGCAGACGCATATGATATTATTTTCTTCATCTTTATTTGGTTTTGATATTATTGTATTTAAATTGTAATCAAGTTTTGTAATCCAAAGAATAGATTAGTAGATTAATTGTAATCCTGGAGTCGCTCACACCGGCCCAAGCACCGGCCTCCAATAAACCGACCCCTGTTCTTGGGCCCCGTCTTCAGATTCTTGCTACCTTAATCCATTCGCTTTATAATGGCCATGAGAAGTAAAAAAAGGAGGGAAAATGGAAACAAGGAGAAAAAAAATAAACACATAAAAGAATATTGGTCAAAAGGCACTTACCGCCATCCCCAAGAAGAGAAATAAATGGAGGAAAAAAACCACAAAATTAATTCCACAATCCACACCTCATTGCAAGAGGTTAAAAAAAGAGATAAAAAGAAGGAAAAAGATAAAAATTGGGTAGGTAGAAAGCAAATCGGAAGCTCTCAGTGTTTCACTTTTACCTTATGCCTTTGATTCTTTTGGTAACTTTCAAGAATCTCTGAGATTTGCTTTCGAAGCCAGGAACTTAAAAGAAAATATGTTGAATTAATTGTCTACATTGCTGTCCAGTAGTAAATGGTGCCCGGTAAAAGCTGCCTAAGAAGAGTTGACCTTGAACCATTGTGGATAACAACCAGTGGTGGGTTTCAAAGTTTTTAGAGCCTATTCTGTAGGTGTGGCCTGTTTTGTGGGAGTTGCTTGGAAGTCATGTGACCGGGTGGGAGTGGCGAACTTGATTTCACTCCCCAGGAGATGTCATGGATTGGGTAAAATGTG